ATATATATATATATATAATAGGCCTGTGTGTGTGTTCCTTTTTTTTCTATGAAAAACCACGATTGTCCCTTATTTTCTACTACAACCGAACTGCTCCAGAGTTAGTTTTCAATCGAGCCGAGACCACCTCGTTCAGGCAATCTCGGACTATTGTTTTGGCGTGGATCCGGGCGCGATTACCGTGTTCACATATGCCCAAACGAACCGAGCTAAGGGGGGAAACGTGCCAGGTTCCGAAACAATGAGCCAGGTGTGAAAGCACCCTTATCACCATATTAGCATCCGATACCATCACTGAACATTTTTTAATGTTTATCTGTTCCTGTGATTCTTATCCATTCCTATCCTTTCAGATGGAATCCGAAAGATTGGTTTGATCAATCCCTGTGAGTTTAGTTTGATTCTGACATTGAGTCTGACAAAATCCTTCACAAATGCTTGCCCTAATATGTAAAAAAAAACAAAAAAAAAACACATTTTGATATAAATAGTTAAAAATCTAAAGTATTTGATACAAGATACAAGTTTACATGAGCAGCAAAATTGCATAACATATTTAGGCTTGTTTTTAGAACATTTCTAATTATTTTTTTCCTAATCCATTGACAAATAATTAGGGGTTCAAGCACGCAGTGCTGAAACCCTATTGTAATTGTAAGGATTTTTATTATTATTATTATTATTAGGGGTTCAAGCATGCAGTGCTGAAACCCTATTGTAATTGTAAGGATTTTTATTATTATTATTATTATTAGGGGTTCAAGCATGCAGTGCTGAAACCCTATTGTAATTGTAAGGATTTTTATTATTATTAGGGGTTCAAGCATGAAGTGCTGAAACCCTATTGTAATTGTTAGGATTTTTTTTTTTTTATTATTATTATTATTCTCCCGTAAAACTGATCGTGCACACCAAACCGTAAGGCCTAGAGACTTGAAACTTGGCCAAATGATAGAGCTCAATTTGGGGAGAACCTATCAAAGTCTCAGCCCAATCGGCCAATAGGTGGCACTACAGCGCAAAAAACTAAAATTTCAGACATTTTTGGCCCTAACTCGTGCACCTATTGTCGTAGACTCAAAAATTTTACATCGTTGCGATCCTTGGGTCAGCCCGAACAAGCTGACCCAAGGTTTTAAAATTGACCTATATCCCAAACTTACTGTTGCGAACTAGTCCTAGGTTTTTCACCTGATCGGAACCAAACCACTGCAAAAATATTCGGTGGACATTGAATATCAATAATTATCAAAAAAAAGTTTACATTCCGATTGTTGCGCGAAACCGTTCCCCAAAAAGCGTCTATGCTAACGTTAGCCAAATGTTATTTTAGCTATAACTCTTGAACGGAATGAGATATCTTCACCAAACTCGGTACACATATGTATGAGCTCAATCTTTGGTCAAATAAAAAAAATTGCGCAGCTCTGCCACTTGGGGGCGCTATAAGACAGAAAAAACATAAATTCAGCTATAACTAGGCAGCTATAACTAGGCAACTAAAGGTCTGTAAGAATTTTGAAAGAAATTGGAAATTACGATTTTCAAGTGCGTAAATGATTGTATATTGCGCGATTTTTCACACATCAACACAATATGCATATCATTTGATAGATCTTCTCATATCGAGTAACTTTGCCTCTAGAACCATTGCTGTCAATCAAATCGTTCATTAAATATTCTCTATTAAATTAAATACCTACTTTTGCGAACTAGTCCTAGGTTATTTGCTCAATCTCGATCAAACCACTGCAGCACAATTCTCTGGACTCTCTAGATCAATAATTATCAAAAAAATGTTGAATTTTGTCCTTCACTTACTTTTTAACGGTGTCATTTAGAGAAGGGGCGTGGCCAAAAATACCCAAATGCGCTATAACAGTAAACAAAGTATCCAAAAACACAATATTTCAATTATAACAGAATTAAACTGTACACAAAACGTTCATATATTCACACATACATTAATTCTTGATATCATAAGATAGATCTCCTCATGCTGAACAACTTTGCCTCTGGGACCAATGTTGTCAATAAAACTGTTAATTAAATATTCAAGATTATTTAAAAAAGCTACTTTTGCGAACTAGTCCAAGGTTTTTCGCCCGATCAGAACCAAACCAGTGCAGCAATACTCTATGGACAGTGTTTATGAATAATTATCAAAAAAAAGTTGACCTTTCGGTCGCAAAGGGATGCCGAAATGTATGAAAAAGGCGGGGACAATTTTACTAAAATGGAGAAAACTCTTGAATGGAATGAGATATCTTCACCAAACTCGGTACACATGTGTATGAGCTCAATATTTGGTGAAATAAAAAAATTGCGCAGCTCTACCACTTGGTGGCGCTATAAAATGGAAAAAACATAAGAACGAATATAACTTTGCAACCGTTTGTCCGATTGACTTGAAAATTGGTATGCAGTGTGTTTGTCCAGTGTGCCATAAGTGTCTGAGAGCATTTGCGTATATAAAAAAACATGGCCGCCATTGGCCAAAGACATTTAAGCACCTATAACACAAGGTTAACGGAGGTCGATCGGGACGAAACTCAGTGGGCATGTTCGACTTATGGCCCTAAAGGTCTGTAAGAATTTTGAAAGAAATCGGCCACAAGTTGGCGCTAACGACATTTTTTTGGCTCTGTAATCACGTGGTGTTTCAGTCATCCCCACAATATGCATATCATTTGATAGATCTCCACATAACGAGCAACTTTGCCTCAAGAACCATTGCTGTCAATCAAATCGTTCATTAATTATTCACAAATATGTTGAAAACCTACTTTTGCGAACTAGTCCTAGGTTTTTCGCTCAATCTCGATCAAACCACTGCAGTAATATTCTCTGGACTCTCTAGATCAATAATTATTAAAAAAAAGTTATTTTGTTCTTTGGTTACCTTTAACAGGGTCATTTAGAAAAGGGCGTGGTCAAATATACCCCAAAACCCATAAAGCCTAAACAAAAACTCCAAACTTTACGAAACTTGATGAAAACATGTGACAGAAGACACTTAACAAGCATGCAAAGTTTCATGGAGATCTGACCATAGGTGGCGCTTTAACAGTCATAACTGTTAAAAATCATCATATTTCTTTGGTAAATTACCTGCTTTTGCCCAAAATGCTATTTTTAATCATAGATTTAAGTGGTTACAGCCATGTTAACAATCTTTTTCCTTATGTGCTTAAATGCCTTAACTGCTTGAACCCCGGTAATCGCTGCTTGCAGCTATATTTGTTTTTCTTATTGCATACGTCTCTTCTTGTTTCTGGCATAAAGTTGAAAATAAATCTTGGGGTAAGAAAAAGTAAACTTACAGGCATTTATTCACATGTAAACATTGATCAAGCTAGGAAGTTGTATACAAGTCAGGGGCATTCCAATCACTTCAGTCGGTGTAAGATGACAATGTACCATTTCTACAAAAAATTCAGCAAGATTTTTGTAACACTATTCTACAAAACAAAGAATGTGCATCTGGGGTGTTTTTGCTTTTGTAATGAATTTATGAAGGTTCTGTAACCAGAATCATTACACTGTATATGCTATCATTGTTGTAGAATACTATGATATTTTGTACATGGAACTTATATCATTTTATTGAAAATGGAAACCACAATCCATTAATTTCAACAAATTTACCATTAATACAGATGCTGCATCTATGCATTCAACATGTTTTCTCAATGACACAGCCTTAGCACAGAAAAATTCCCACTCGTTAAGTTTTCCACTTGTAATTACAACTTTGTGGTGACGTTCATGTGCATTCAATTTGTAACTACAATCTTTCTGACATGATTTGAATGCACCAATAAAGCACATAAGCTCAAATGTGCATGTGTGATGTGAAAACAACCTCATTGATTCTTATGCATGACATAAGCACATTTGAACTTACATTTACCATTTTTGATGTGCTCTATGTATGTGCGTTGATAAATTTTTGTATGTGGATAAAAGCTTATATTAAATCTGTTCATCATATCAAGCGATTATATTTCTCCAGAAGACTTGGATTTGATCACTCAATTCAAATGGAATATTTTTAAGATCTCTTTATGAACTTTTTGAAGCTTGAAAATGTTGATTGCATAGACTTTCAATAGATGGACAAAAGATTAGAGAATATTAAAAATATAATAATTTGCATTTCGAAGATGAATGAAAGACTTTGGAACAACATGATGACAGAATTTTCATTTTGGGGCAAACTATTCATTTAAGAGCCTAAACGGATAATAATAATAATAATCAGTTTTCTTAATGTTGTTAGTGTAAGAAGAAAAGGTGTGTTCATATCACTTTACACTTTTTTTTTTTTTTTTATATTTGTGAGTTTATCAGTTAAGAATATTTAGATATTTTAACTGGAAAAAACTGATGATGAAGAAAAATAGTTTTCAGTGTGAAAAATAAAACATAACACTCAAAGGCAACAGAGAGTGAGGTGTTATGTAAGAATCATGTCATTATGAGAGAGAGACTTGCCCACCTTTCTCTGATGAACTCTGCCATCTCTTTCTGCATCTGCTTCCCCTTCAGCTGTTTCTGCAGCAGCACCTCGAACCCTGACACCGTGGCCCCCTGAGGGTCCCTCTTATCGGCCTGCAGAGGACAGAGAGACATTACACACACGCGGTGTCATGCATGCTACCACTTCATCAGCACCAGACTGTCAACAACACGTTAGCACGATCAGATGTGTGTGAGAGAGGCCACATGTGTGCATGAGTCACAGCGTGGGTTTGCATGAATCGGAGCGTGTGGGAGATGTACATCCTTGCGGGTGTAACTGTGAGTGTGCATTTCAGTGAAGGGTGTGTATAGGGAATGACTAATGTAATGTGAGGGCTCCTGATGCAGTGTATGGATGCAACATGTTAATGAAATATGCTTTTCCGTGTGTGTGTGTATGGAGGTTTAAGAGTCTGCTGTTGTGACGGCCACTGACGTGCCATCCCACACATGACAGAAGTGTCCTAACCTTTTCACGCTTGGCTTGAGAAACAGCCAGGAAGAATCTTCCCAACAAAATACTCCTGTTTATATGTGCATGCATCATAAAAGTGAAAATTTGCTGATAATGTACTCACACTCAGGCCATCAAAGATTAAGATGAGTTTGTTTCTGGATTGAATGGATTGAAGTTAAAAACGTCTTGATGATGGATCACAAGGCATTAATTGATGAACTGGAGTGGTGTGGATTGTTTGTGGATTATTGTGATGTTTTTATCAGCTGTTTGGACTCTCATTCTGATGGCACCCGTTCACTGCAGGAGATCCACTGGTGAGCAAGTAATGTGATGCTAAATTTCTCTACATCTGCTCCTAAGAAGAAGCAAAGTACATCTTGGATTGCCTGAGGGTCAGCACATTTTCACTTTTGGGTGAATTATTTCACTAAAATTTAAATAAATTTTAGTTAAAGTAATAACAAATAAAAACTATGAAAAACATTTTTGTTACTTGAAAGAAAGGTTAACTGAAACAAAATGAAATATAAAAAAACTTAGACTTTATTTTTAGCTGGTTTCCAAGATAACCTTTCTCATTTTTATTTAGTTTAATTTGATGTACTGAAAACTAAAACTGAAATAAAATTTTAAATATAAAACATTTTTAAAAAATCATCATAATGACAAAAACACAACAAAACTAATAAAGCATTAATTACATTTAAAATGAATAATATAAAAATAATAACTAGTTCAAAATATTCATAAAAAACAGTAATAGTATTTCAATGATACTAAACTAACACTGTAGATTCTGCTAGTGAATGCACACTGACTGCCTCAGATTAACTGTAAATGTCCTTCTGGATCTCATTTTCACATTCTTTGTCTCATCCTAAAGTCTTTGTCTCATCTGTCTGTGAGTGGGGCTCAAATTAAATTTTTCTTAAACCTGTCAGTGGTGATGATTTGAGGAAATATACCGGTCATAAATCTTAAATAGTCATATGTTGCTGAGCAGTTGTTCTGGTGGTTGTTTATTAGCCCAGGCTATTAGGCTCAGGTCCCTCCATCATTGCAAGTTTGTGGGATTGTTTTTTTCATGTTTTATCGTCCGGCACTTGAAAAGTCTGATTACTTTGAAAAACACAAGTACATCTCTCCTCAAAATCTCTAATGTATCTCATTCAGCAAGTATAAGCACCAACAAAGTGATGCTAGTTATCTTGCACAATTTCTAGTCTCAATTAAATTTTTCTTGTGTGAAGATGTTTTGATATTAAAAAGAGCACATTTCTCCTTGACATCTCAATCTTATGAGTATAAACAATATAGTGATGCTAGTTTTGATCATATCAACAGCTTAATGCTAACAGCATCATGTTAGTCACAATGTAAACAAATATTTAATTAATAATCTACAAGAAATAAAATCAAAATAAATAAATCTAAATTGTGCTAGGTTTATCCTTAAAATAATAAAATAAAATAAAAAACAGGGTAAGAAAAAACAGAATATATTACTCAAATTCATCTTGTTTAGCCTATATGTAACAAAACAAAAAAATATGAAAAATATATAAAATCTGATTAAGTAAATGATTCATAGCCTTGCTGTGAAATGTCATCTGTCATAAACATGTCAAAACAAAAACAAAGAAATATGTCTGCATACTGTAATAAAAAAAATAAAACATTTCGGTCTTCCTTGGGTTGAAACGTAAATAAAACATTTTGGGAGCTTTAATTTCAACGTGTGGGCAAATGATTTTGGTTTCTTTAGTAGACGTCTGTATCTCTTTACCTCACATCACTTCTGTCTGTCAGTCATCATATGAGATTGCCGTTTTTACATTGCTATTTAAACCATGCATGTTGCTATTTCCAAGCCAATTGTCCAGTTTTATTCACTATCCTAAGTTTGTCAAAGTTTTTCACAATGAGCTGTTTTCTGTCCTTCTAATGATATTAGATGGGCCCATTTCGATACTACTCCTTGTAGTATAGTATCAGTACTCAGCCACTGCGGTCCACCAGGTATGAGGGTCCTCTTTCTCTCTCTCTCTCTCTCTCTCTCTGTCTCTCACCCAGAAATAGTCGCAGTAGCTCCATTCATTGGGCTTGAGAAGCTGCTGCTCCAGCGCAGACGCGGGCACAGGGAAGGTGACGCAGTTGATCTGAGGTGAGATAAAACCGAGTAAGGTCAGTTCACAGTGTGTGTGTGTGCGTGAACGCTGTTTTGTCAGATTGGTTTTATTTTCAGAGGAGTGAGACAGAGATGGCTTGTGTTAGTCTCAGAGGGGAGACAAATGAAAGGTCACGATGTAAAAGACAAAGACTGGTCATATTGACTGTGACCTATAACAGCCTGAGGATGGATATGGTGATGGAGGAACAGAGAGAGAGAGAGAGAGAGGGTATGTTTAGAATGGCAAACTATTTTTAAAAGCCTACTATTTAAAAAAAATAATAATAATAATAAAGATAATATGCACTATGTTTAGTGTGCATAGTATGCAAGTTTTCTCCATACAGGTACATTTAACAGCACACTGCAAAAAATACTGTAAATGTACATGTGAAGAATGAATGCTCATTAATGCAATCTACAGTTTTACACATTCTTTTAAAACCGTAAGCACATACCCTTGTAAAAAAAAAAGTACAATTTAGCATACTTATAAAGAGTACTTACTACAGAAATAATATACTTTAAAATAATACGCTTAAGTGTGAACTAAATGTAATATTTTCAGACACTTAACAGCATGTTAACTGCAATTAAGTAAAAAGTATTACAGTTTAAATGCATATTAATTGAAATTAGCGGAGTGCATTTTAATTTCATAATTGCTTCTGTTGTCTTTGCAATGTGGTTAAAGTGTACTGTCAAATGCCTGAGCATAAGATATTCTCCATTAATGTTAACCAATAATAAAAAAAATCACTTAAGGTTCAGGAATCTCTCTGATTGGTGGATCTCACATTGTGTCATGGCGGGTTGTCATACACACAAAATGCCTCATTAGGGTGGCTAGTTAATGGAGTTTCATTCGTTCCCAAAATCAGCCAATAGTCTTGAAAAATACAAGCATTGAATCAGACTTGTTGCTATGACATTGACCTTAGTTCATTTCCTAAGTTTGTTATTCTGAGATGTTTCATCATTAAATAAAAAGACTGTACAGATAAAACGTATATGTTTGGGCAGTTTTCATTATCAGTAGCTCATATTAGGCAATCTTATTGAGTTTTATATGGCGGTTTCACACACACACTCACACTTATTCATGCTCAAATACACCACTGTAAACAAATTGGTCTTAACCTCTTGTAAGCGAGATATTTTGCAAAATTATGTTAATGATTAAGATAGTTCATTAACATCTATTTAACATGTTAATGTCATTCATTTTTCTCAAAATCAGTTGGGGCGGAACAATTTTATTGTATTTTTTAAATATTTTTTATTAATTTAATCAAGTAACTGCTGAACTTTCAAGAAATCCACCTTAAGCATAAAGTCCCAGGGTTGTAACCATACAGAAACTGGAGGACCACCACCATAGGGATTAATTTTTTTTGCATGTATTAATATGTGGTTGCAGCCTTACTTATTGTTCACACTATAATTACTGTTACAGTAAACATGGAATTAATATAGAAATTATTTCAATACATAAAGTAAATTATGATAGTATCACTCAGCTTGTTTGTGCCTTATAAATGGCATATTGTAATTGAAATTGTGTATACACTTTTACATTATTACTACAAACATGCTTTGTGCATTGATCATTCACCTTGTTGTATTTAAAATATGTTAGAGCTGAACATTAAATGTCATTGCAAAAATAGCTAATAGCAGCCTAAGTTTGCAAATATCATTGCACAAATATGCAGATTATTATTTTTTTTATTATTATCAATATTGTTGTGCAAACAAAAAAGAATATAAAATGCATTAATACAAAAAAGCATTTTATTTATTTAAAAATAATAATTTATATATTTATATAAAGTAAATTTATAGTTAATTAGTTAGCAAGTTATATTATAAATTAATTAGCAAGTCTTTAGCAATTATTTAGTAGCGTATTTAGCAATTAATTTGATCAAGTGACAGTAAAAAAAATTTACATTATAAAAAATATACGTGTGTGTGTATGTATATGTATGTGTGTGTATATATATATATATATATATATATATATATATATACATACACACACACACTGTATATGCGTGTGTGTATTCTAATTTTGATTACATGCCAAGAAAATTGTGGCGAGGGGGGCGTGGTTCAGCAAAGTCTGCAGCGGGAGAGAGGGGCGGGAGATGAGTGGTGAGTAAGTAATCAAGTGCAAAATGATGAACACCTGTGTCTAATTGCAGTAATTGGCCTGGAGAGACCAGTTAAAAGGCTGACTGGAGAACGTGGAGGGAGAAACGGAGACTCGTGGGCATCGCTCGGCCAGGGAGAGAAAACCTGAGGAACTGAATTTGTGCCACTGGCAGTGTGTGAACGCACTGGAAGAGCTACTTTTGTTAGAGTTTTGAGTTATTAAATAAACATCCACGAATCTTCAAACTCCAACCTTGTTCACTTCCTTCCTTACTACGAACCTTGTTACAAAAATGTGTTGAGAACTACCAGGGCAATCCATGATGAATTATGACCGTTCTATCTCATCTCACCAAAGCACCTCTGAATGTTAACTCCTCGACTCCATCAGCATTATTTACATCTACATAATTTGCACAAATGGACAAGACGGCATAATGCAAATTGTACAAACCTGACCACAAAGACACACACAAAAAACACAATTACGATCAAGACATTGGATAGATGACCCTTGCATGTGCACAGTGATAAGACCCTATCCACTCACCCTAGATGCTTCCTAATCTGATGGCGTTTGAGCTGATTTACTCATTCGTGCCTCGTCACTTTGTTCATTTCATGCCTGGAAGATCGCTCTTGATTGTCGTGGCCGCTAGACTTTCCCTTACACATCTATCATTCCTGTTGTTTATCCTTCACTCTCATCCTCCACAAAATGAGCCCATTCATCAGATTCAGGCCCATCTTCTCTCCTTATAACTCCTCAGCGAGGTGATCCACCCTTATCAGGAGCTTATTAAACCCTATGTCCATGCTGAAATACATCTCCCTCCACATCCTTAAAAATCCAGCTCCCTCTGCGCTAATGTAAGGTCAGTTCACATCCACCAAAACTGTAACTTGAATCACCATTTGGTACACCGCAGTGGTTTTGCATCAGGGAGGGCTAATACTCTTGATAGTGCAGTAAACTGGTTTGGTTGAGGGCGCAGTTATTTCAAACATGGGCTTTGAGTGAAATCTCACACTAATCAAACATCAACTCTACTTGTGGGGCTCCAGGGGGGGCAGACATCTACACACCGGGTGCATTTGTAACCGGTGTAGTCTGCGTTTTTTTTTTTTTTTTTTTATGCATTAATCAGACGGACATCAGATGACGGTTCGACTCTTCTTGAATATGAAAGAAGTTGGCCAAACCTCTACACATGTTGTAGGCATACACAAAGTGCCCATTACACCTTGAATAACTCAGACCTTTCGCTTAAAAAGAACATGAGAGAATACATGAAATAACACTGTATCATTAAAGTGCTGAAATGGCGTTTGGTCTCGTACTGTATCGCGTACCTTGTCAGTGTCGTGTGCTTTGCTTGGCTATTTGTTGGGATAACCAGGAAAGTGTGTCCAGCTGAATTCAATTTGAGTTTTGTTAAACGAATTCAGAAGAAGCTTAGTTTACCGCGGAAGCGGTCGTGTGAAGAGTGTAAAGACCATCGTGTGAAGAGTGTAAAGACCATCGACTCTACCGTGCGACTCCACCGGGCAGGGACACAGGCAAAGGACATAAGTATCGCTTTTTATCTCTCCTCTTTCCACTTCTGTTTCAGTTTTTTATAATCTATTTCTTACTATGTGTCAGTAAGTTGTTGTTATTTTAGCATGTGTGTAATGTGCAATACAATACACAGACCTAAACATGAATAACAGGTGATCCAGACTCCATACCAAGTCAGGTCTCAAGTTGAACCATTGACTCAATTAGTCTACATACAGGTCGAATTACCCAACCAAACCTGGTAGTATAGTGATTGTTGGAGTCACTGTGAACCACAGGATCATGTGAATTGTTAGAAACAGGAGCAGTAGGTGAAGAGGCACTGGCTACATTGTCAAAGTCGACAACAGATAAATCATCACGTGCCTCAGAAACCGTTTGAGTAGAATGGGATGAGACCCAAGCAGCAACAGGGTCATCATCACATACAGCTACATGAGAAATGACAGACAGAGACTCTGCATGTAACAATTCATCAGTGTGGATTAAGCCAGATCACAAACACACTGAGAAGGTGTGGAAGATGGACCATTACCAACACTTTCATTGACAGCAAAATCAAACTCAGATGTGGGCAAAGGGAGAAAGTTAACTGGCAACAAGAGATTCCGATGTACTACTTTCTCTCGACCAGATGTGTCACGGATCTTATAAAATAGGGCTGGGTATCGTTCAAAATTTTTCGATATCGATACCGATACCTTGACTTCGATACCAGTTCCTGAACGATACTTTTTTCGATACCAATTTTATGAAATCAATTTTAACAAGATTACATTATCTAAAAAAAAAACTTTGGTTTTATTTTTCAGCTTGTTGATGTTTATACAAACTCAAAGACTCATCTCCTGAGCCACTGCACAAAGGAACAAAATGTAACCAACACAATAAATCAGTGCAAAGTAGTTTTAATAAAGCTCAAATAGTCTTCAGTTTACACATCTGTTAGGCTATATTTAAACTAGTTAAGTGTTCGTTTTAAAATACATAGCTCAGACAGAATCATGATTTCTATTTATTTTCCACTGATTTACTGATGAGCATTAGCAGCTTCCAGCGCTGTCTGCCTGTGT